GACAACAGTAGTCCAACCATCTTCGTTCGAGCAAAGTCAGTTGAACTATGCAATTCACTGTAGTTCGTGCCCGAACTTGCTAAAAGAAATATGCTGGGAGTGTCAATGACAGATTCCCTATCATTTTGTGCTAAGATTAAACCCTTGCGTCTTTGGCTTGCGGCTGTACGTGTCTGAAATCATCACGCATAGATGCACTTTGCGGCGAGTTTGGCTCGTTAACTTGCGCAGCTCACTAATTACTCTGGCCACTGTTGTCTTGAACTCCGTGGCATTTTGTGGCAAGCGGGTAAAAAATCCCAATAGAGTATAGGAAAACGTGCACAACAAGTATAAAGTTGCGTGGGTACACTTGCGTCAAGTATAAAAGGAGTTGTTAATCTTAATGTTTGCTTGTCTGCCCCATGCATAATTAAACATTGACGTCATGAATTTGGAGACCACACCAAACTTGCATTGCTGGAAATCTATAGGGTTTTTTTTGGTCAGCTGTCAATTCAGTTTGAATAGGCTAAATGACATGCGCCGTTAGTAAAGTTAGTTTTTTGTTTCAATAAATATGAATACGTCACAATGTGGCCATGATTGCTATATATTGGCTCACGAATTTACCGAATATTTGCCGCCAACCATGAGTTGCCAGCGGCGTAGAGTGGGTTCTCATTCTATGGGGGCGTGGGGGGGGGGGAGCGCCCAAAAATTGCTGAAAGGTAGACAGGTTTGTTACCGGCGACCTCCGTAAAATCAAACAGTGGGGAGGGGGGGGGGGAGGAGGGGGGGGGGGGGACTGGACACCATCTTCCGCAGTGGGGCACTGTTCAAAACCTATATCATGGTTAATGTTAGACAATAAATACAGCTACTTGCTTTCCACGGACGTTAAAATAAACAGCCACTCGCGAAAAAGGATTTAGGCATAAAAATACGCACAAAATCGCAGGAAAAAGGATTTTATGTTCGTCCGGCTAATCATGGTAACTCATACGGCTGTGGTTTTTTTCCGGATGCCAGATTTCCGGGGGGGGGGGGGGGGGCGACTGGGGGGCCAACTTTTTATGGGGGTGTGCCCCCCCCCCCCCCCCCCCAGTTACGCCGCTGTAAGTTGCCAATACGCTTCTTAATCACGAATACAATTAACTGCAATCGTGTACTTCAAAGCTAGCTGTAGCTATTTTTACGGAATTTGAACGTTGCGCGCATGCGTCCAGGCATCTAAATGCGTCTCGGACTTTTCTTTATATAAAAAAAAAAATCATCCAAAGCTTGTATATCAGACTGAGTTGCTCCGAAGAAAAATAATAACATTTAATCGGAAAAAAATATCTGAAAATGAACCAGATAATAATATTTTAATCTGTTGAGAGTGTTCACATCCCATAATATACCACGTACCTACTTATTTGTTCAACCCAACTTGTGGAATACCATGCAAGTGTAATTAAGTTTTTATTTACATACAAGTGCAATTTCCACCGTTCTTGCAAAACTGCCCGCACTTTGTTAGGATCCCAGAGCACACACTCTTGAACCGACTGGAATCAAGTCCATACCTTGAACCCACTAAGTGATTAATGATGTTACGGATACTGCAAATGACAGATTATGGAAGCATTAGGCTTCAGCCATTTGTGGCAAATCTGCTTGTTTTGATCGCGGCGTGATTCCATCAGTCAGTTTTTTCCTCCTTCTGTCGTCATGCACGGGCATCGGGCGGACGAATGACGCAAAGCCAACACCCAGTATTTCGGCTGGTCAGCCGGGGAATTATCCCAGCCCTGCGCGCTGGATCGCGTGCGGTACTCATCACCCAACTACACGAGAACGAGAAACAAACGGCATAATTTGCGCCGGGTCAACAACAACAGGAACCCGCGGAGATAAACAGCCGGCCGACAACACTGCGAATGACATCCGTGGGGTGGCAGTGACGTCATCCGATAATTCCCCTACGTCATCCGCGCGATGAAAATAGACTGATCGGCTGATTAGAGCCAGTGCGTGCCGCGTACTGCAGAAGTCGAGCCATTTGCGAAATAAAAAACACAACAAACACCAGTCGATGATAGTACGGGTCGATTCAGTATGTTTCCGAACGAACCAAAATCTCTGCGTGGGGCTAGCAATCTTCCTAGGGTCGCCATGAATTCTTGTATAACCGCCCGCGTAAACAATGTCGCGCTTTTGTGTTTATGATTTCATATTCCGAAGGCAGCTTATATTTAGGTTTTCCCGCGCGTTCGTGCTAGCTGCCGTAAGACCCCGAGTACTCAGGCTGATCGCGGGTTGTGCAGACAGCTGTTAGTTGACGCATTGTGAAAGGATCTTATTGATTTACAGCAAAATACTTGTATACATCATGACAAGGGACGAAAATGGACAATAAGAGATGGATACCCGATGCTGGATATATGGTAACTCAAGCTTGCATAAGAGCCACATATAAATACATTTACAGGATATAAGATCCAAGATGCCAGTTCAAGTTTATTCATTGACCAAGACAATGGAAGCACAATAAAGGAGATACGTCCAAGAGTTCGTTAAATTATATTCAATTGATTCGAAAAGTCTATTCAGTCATGGAGGTAGAATGATTAACAGAAGGTCTTTTACGCAACGCATGTGGTCTGCTTTGTGACAGATTTAACCCATTCATTGGTGCTCATTCACTTACAAAATATGGCCTAATAAATATTACAGTAATGCCTAGACTGGTCCCCCCCCCAAAAAAAACATATATGGACACCGGCAGCTAGTTCCCATTAAGGTCATTGATTGGATTTCCTCTGCGCGTGCGCAGTATGATTGTTCATTTTTAAAAAAATGATTATTACATGCATTGCACGTGGATGACAGTTGAACACAATAAACTGAGTCTTACCAGTAGGTAAAGTCGCTGTCACGAGAGCCTCCACGTAGGCAATTTACTTTCAAGCATTTCAACTGCATAAGTTTTAAAATGCTGAAAAGTAGTCCTCCTTTGTTTCCTCATTCGCAAGCTCGAACGGAAATGTTTCCTATTGCGCTAGTCATTCCTAGCTGTAACAAAACGACATGTTTAATACACATGGGGAGCACGGTTCTTCGTCGTGTAGCCTATACGGAGTCCGAAAAGTTGTGCTACAAGACGGATTGTCATCCAATAGGAAATTTCGTTACGCGCTATGATGTTGGGAACATTGGCCAAACAAAGTAGACGTTTTATCAATGCGGCCATCGCCGCGCCAGGAATACGCGTGCATGAACAAACTCAGCTGCAGAACACGCATTGCTTCCATTCGTGCGCAAGAAACATAGCGCGATTGTTTCCAAATCTAAGAAAGAGACCAAGTTTAATATTTTCATTTGGATATCTTATGATGAAGGGCAGAAAAGTCAAAAATATATATACCCTGTCAGTGTGGAGTGAATTCATCAAAACAACATAGGGAACTGGCCTTCTGCGTGGTAAAAATAGGGGGACAAAAACCCGGAGGGGACAGAATTACACAGAAATAACACGCCGGGGAGGACACTTTTACCTAGGTACGTCATTCTGTCCCCGGACAATTTTACCAAGGGACAGAAATACCGTCCACGCCTGCATGCTTTGTAGCTTCACATCTCTACTGAAGAAAAATACTTCATCATCTGCATAAAAAAGAGTATTCCTATCCGAGTACTTCCTTCTATTCAATTGGAAAATACAATTCTTTACTGACAGTTGCCAGATGAGATATGTAATTCAGCGAAAATCGAAGCTCATTTCAACACACAAATTTCACATTACTGGTAGCCGTTGTTGCCATTTTGCAATAGGCTGGTTCCGCGCTAACATCATTGTTGCATTGTTCAGGGGCGGCGGAACCGGGGGGGGGGGCTTGGGGGCTTGGGGGCATTTGCCCCCCCCCCAGATTTTCCCAAGTGCCCCTTTTGCGGCCATAAATGTGCCCCCTCGAACAGTAAAGTGCCCCCTCAAGATACAACCCAAATGCCCTTAAAGTATCTTACTATTTCTTAGAACTAACCATATCCCAATAATGGTATAGATACGGCCTGAAAATGGGCACAGAATGCATATTTAGCATAATTATAATCACTATTTGATTTTACGGAGGCCAAGTGTCCGGTGAAAAAAACGTGTCGACATTTCAGCACGGGTTTGCAAGTGCCCCTTTTTGGTGATCCCCCCCCCCCCCCCCCCCCAGTTTCAAACCCGTTCCGCCGGCCGCCGCTGGCATTGTTGTATTCAGGTTGCGGGAATCACCGAATCAGACCTAGGCTAGTGCAGCATATAATTTGTATACATGTACATTCTACTGTATACATGTACATGATTCATTGCTAGCAACCTGTCCCTACATTCGAATTAGTCCGAAAGACAATGGCGGAACTGGGAACCAGTCTAAAATAATGCCGAAATAATCGTATCAAGGGCGGATCCGGGGGGCCAACAGGGGCCATGGTCCCGCAAACGAACGAACCTTTTTTTTTAAGTGACGTAGCCATGAAGGAGGGTACTGCGTACACATCTTTTCCTCAAAATAATTTGGTTAAGGTTGTCATAAATTGCCTCAGATCGCACCACAGAGCATCTAGAATCCAATTTTTTTTGGGGGGGGGCCTTAAGCGGGCCCTGAACCCCAACATAGGGTTTGCGTAATCTTTTCTATTGTTGTAAACCTTGAAAATGTATACACACATGTAATTTTCAAGAAAATTGATTGTACATATTTTGTTTAACGTTTGTATAGTCAGCTGTATGTAGGTCGTCTTACTGTCTAGAACTATGGATTGTTTTAATGAACCATCTTTGTATTAAATTAAATATGCCTTTATTGCCCAATTTCTGAATACGAATTAATGTGATCACCTTCTTAACAATTCAAAATGCAGTCTATTAAATACGCGGATGCATATTTTACGTCAAGTGGTTACGTTACATTGACTTGAACACATAGGCCTATAAAAGTGAAAGCATATACATGTATCATCAACGGCAGCCGGCGCAGTACGGTGTTTTTAGCCACTGCATGCTATATACTTTGTTTGAACATCACTTACCGACTTCAAGATGTTGTGGACAGCGATGTTGTGTTTCATGCTGTACACCGCAGTAGATTGTGATGTGGAAAGTGGGATCGAAGGCATCGACAAGGCCGACATGGTAAAACAAGAAATGTATCCACAAAGGTTTCATTATAATAACATCGGGCGCGTTATCACTGCACATTAACGAGGCCCCTTTTAATGGAGAAACCATTATGCAAGCTCTTGGACAAAGCTACACTGTGAGAATTATCTGGACTTTCGCCATTGAAGGGGGCCTCCGTATAATAGTGATAGAGCTGGCCCGCATTGGTCTAAATACTATAGTGTGAATCAAAGTGGGACGGTGTGCTCTTGTATGACTTTACGATTGACGATAGCCACACAAGGGGAGAGCAAAGGATTTTTTTCAGTCAGTTGGGCTTTTGTTGGAAACGGTCCTCGATCGTATACGGTTATGCGCTTAGTCTATGGGAGAGTGTTATACTACAAGGACAAAGGGAATCACAAAGCATTGTCCTCGAACGTATAGAAATTCGGGACTAGGAGTATATAAGTTTTGTTTCTGCATTCAATAGGTGACGTCAAACAATAGGGTCCCAATTCTCAAAGATCTTAAATTAGGCGATCGTGTTCGAAACATATGGGATGTTTTCCTAAAAAGTCAAAGTACAAACAAAAGAGGGACACTAGGGGGTCCCCGATTGCAGGCAAATACACACATGTGTGTGGTTTTTTTAATATCCTTTATTGAAAGAAACATTCTCGAACAAACACAAAAAATGTAAGAATCAATCATTTGGACAAGGAAGAATAGGGGGCCTACAGCACAAATCATTATTATGAAAGAAAAATATACTACTCTCCCATTCTGTGTTTCTGTTTTTAGGGATTTTTTGTTATTAATTTGACATGCAACGACGCTGACACCAGTTGTATGAGCTGTTTCTCTGCCCACAAGTACGGGCGGCCATATTTGTGTAAGTGTTAATTTTCGTAGACTGTTTCCCGCCCCTCCTAAAAATATGATTACTTAGATTGATTAGTATTGAACATACCCTAATATTTTAAGCCACATTTAAAACAAATTGAAAGTGAGGATTGGAATGCATAAAGTCTGGCATCATCCCATTTAACAGTTTACAAGGCCTATTTACACATACGTGATGTCGCGCGGTATGTGTGAAGAAATGTGATTTTAAAAAAATTGCGCGATAATTCGCGTAATAAATGTAAAGCCGCTCATTTTCATGTTTTCGTAACTAGTCGCGATGCGACGAATTGATGCTGTTTTTACCCCAGACATCGCATACAAAAACAAACGTCAATGTAACGTACATGCAGGCACCAGACTATTCCTCAATTGCTGTTCAAAAATATTACACATGCAAATGTCCAATACCAGGGTGAGAGAGCAGGTAGTGGTGGGCGCGTACTGCTCGACATCCTGGGGACGAGGTTGGCAGCTCTACCTATCATATTGACCTCATATGTTTCCTCCAAAATGTCAAGTGCCATTTTAAAATCACAACGCCTACCTTGCCTGATGGTGGTGTTTATTTCCAGACGAATTCGAGCTCTCCAAGTACCACAATCCTCGTTTCCACATTGCCGTGACCAGCGGGGAGCAGAATTGGGAGGTGTACTTTATCCAAGGTAAGAGGTTGGGCATGAAATTGTCCCACGTGGTATTTCGTTGGTGCACATCGTGGCGCTGGTAACCTCTAATTTCATTGATGGACGGATTTTGTACAGCCAGCCACCAATTGAAGTACCAAAAGCCAGTCAGAAAATAAATTTTTTTTTAACTGACGGCCTGAAATCCCTGAAAATTTTATGTTTTGGATTGTTTACTTAATTTCTTACCGTTCCCGAGAAAAGTAGCCGAAAAAGCCCTGTTGTTTACATCAGACGCGGCGGACATGTGGCATAGCGTTCACTTCCAGCCGCCTCCATTCAATGTACTGTCCATGCGGCATGCATGACGTTCCGACGTTCGTGTGTCACATAATACACACAGCGCGCACAATGTTGTTTTTGTCACGTCCGCAGAATATAATGTTGTAAAGCACTGCGACAATATTGTTTCTCTCACGTCCGCAGAATACACTGCGTGGCAATCAGGGTGACTTTTTTATTTCGGCTAAATTTGACAGATTTGTTTTGGGGGAAAATGAGTTTGACAGAATTGTTTTTAGCAGATTTCTGGCACAATTCAGTAACATTGGCAATTTGACAGAAAACGATGACAGGTTCGAAAAAAACATAGCTGATTAGTTTTGAAAAAGCTTCAATTTGAGGGTGGTAAACTACTTTAGAGCATTGCAAGGCAGGATAGATACGGGTGCAATTTCTAATTTTTGTTAAAGAAATGTGATTATTTTTGTTTTGTTTAAGGACATTTTATCTGCATGTGAGTATAAAATGTTTACTGTATTTCGTGTAATAATAGGCGATTTCGCAGAAGTGCATAGCAGAATCACATTTTTCCATTATGTTACGGTCGAGCTGGCGACAGGAAGATTTAGCAATAGCAATCAAAAGATTGCTTTTTTGAGAGTTAAAATTGTGACTCCCCAAAATTTGTGCTGGAAACTGCAAGAAAATTGACTCTTGTACGTGTCGGCTGTGTGGCTAATTTCCAAACTTGTCAAGAAATAATTCATTCAAGCCCTGAAATTCGAAGTTCTGACCATGCAGCATGTGCTCTCTTTCAAATCGACTCGCAATGACTACTTAGCTTCAAATCTTTGCATTCATCGGCATGGCTATTTTCATCACAACTCAACTTCTTAAAATGCCAACCTCACTTCGAAAAACATCCTTTGCGTTCTTGTCACACAGATGATCTCAGTGACTCGTTTCGTCATTGCACGGTTATCAACGCCACCACGGAAGTGGAGTTACACCAACGACTGATAGTCAACGCGTGCATTGATAACGATTTCTTGGCCGTGTCGGTGCCGGCTGAGTGCGGCCAACCAGTGCTCGTGTACACGGTAAAAACCCGCCGTGGTAACGAAAAACCGCGGGGGCAACAAGTCCTGTACTGCATTCCGAAACGCCAATTGGGATCCAACGTTGAAGCCATGTAGGATCAATAGGAAAAACCTGACAAATCTCTTTATCTAGAAGACTGAGCTCAAGGCCGGATCTAGAACTAAATTTGCGGCGGGGAAAGGAGCAAGGTCCCGAGTATTTTCTTTTTTCAAAAAGGGGAAGGGGATATTAAGTAAATAGTATTGTGCAGCTATGTCCACATTGTGATAACACTAAAAGGTATGTGTAGCTGATGGCTTTCGATAGTCTGAATATTACCCGTCGTCCAACGGAGCCCTCTGTCTCCGTTCCAACGTCTGATATATCTAAGCAATTAAGCATGCAAATTTATGCAAATTTATGCGATATGGTGCCATCTCAATAATGTTATCAAACTGTGGTTGCCGTTCAGTCTTTTTGTGGGCCGCAACTTTCAACAGTTTCTTCGAAATTTCACGTGACGTATGAAGGGAAAATAGCCTGTCAAATAAGTACGCACTTATCAGAAAAATTCTTGTTAATGTATCTTAATAAGGACACATTTTTCGTCATAAGACACCGGACACTAAGGAGACATTTCAATGTCTCCCTAATGTCACAGCTCCTATTTAAAGGCAAAATTTGATTGTCGCAAATAGGCTACATGTAGATCGATTGCTCATAGTCCAAAACGTAAATATTCCAGAATTCGTGGGGTAGGATAAAAGAAATTGGGGTTAGGGGTCATTAAAGTTGGACAAATTTTGTGCACAACCCTATCCCAAGATACCATTCCCGAGACTTGTTATCGTAATTTCTTCGCACGATGGGAGACATCGGTCATTAGGGAGACATTTTCATGTCTCCCTAATGTCACAGCCCCCCTTTAGAGGCACAATTTTGGTGTCGCAATTAGGTTATATTTGTTGCTCGTGATCTAATTAGTAAACACACCGAAATTCGTGGGAAAAGGACAAGAGAATATTGGGTAAGGGCACATTTAAATTTGAAAAATTTTGTGCACAAGAATATGGGGATGTCTCCCAAATGTCCAATCTATGGTAATGTTAATTACTGTTATTATTATCAGTGTAGGCCTAATTTATCAGAGGAAATCGGACACTCATTTCAACCCATCCGTTCCAATTTTGGATAATATTGCAAGACCACTCAAATAGGGCTACATCTAGAAAATCATATGCATTATAAACCATATGTTCATCTTCATAATTACATTCGTTATTTTTTATGACACTTCATGTTTTATAATAAATTTCTTGTAATCACACGACTCGATGCTGCTGTTTTGCATAAACAGATACAGCAGTGACTTCCAAACGCTGTGCCGATTGTAATGTATAGGCCTGGAAGTTGCCTGTGATGTTGTCTGTAATGCGCACACATCAAGTGCTATCTTTTAGATTTGGGATAAAATGGATAAAGTTTCAGATTTTTTTTTCTCCAGTAAGGGTTTCAGCACTAATTTTAGGGGAGTTCTGTTTTGGAACAGACCGATCAACTAAGTCCCGCCCCCATATGCGTTGACCAATCACAGCCTAGATTAGTGTCTGGCATGCGTGCATAACAGTCCGACACACGTGTACGTGCGTATGATGCGCGTGGCTGGAATATGCAGTGTTACATTGAATGGGCGCACGCGTTGTTGCCCAAGTGCACAGTGGGCGTGGCTTTCCTGAATCTGTCTATTTAATACATGTACATGTATTACCAAAACGGAATAAAATGATTTCAACAATATATAACAGAACAGACACCTAATTACAGTTCATAATATTTTTTTAATGTTAAGTATTCTCTTTAAGGTGAATGGAAGTACATGTAATACTGTAATATTAATCAGTTTGTAAGTACATACGCGTTTGATTGAATATAAAGTTAATCTAGTTTCACGATTCGACCGTTCTTAAGCAAAGCACTTTATCATAATTAATTCACAGTGTCTTTAATTGTCATGTTCTATGATACCTTACAGTAGATTTTGTTCATTGTATCAATTACGAAAAGAGCGGAGTGATATCTTTAATTGATAAGATTTTGATATTGAACCTAATTACAATCAGCTTTATAGATCGCCTTCATATGACGCCATCTTCGAAGGAAACTGACAACTGCGTGTTCAACACCATCAGTGCGTGAGCTCTTATATGGCTTCACGATCGAGGACAGACACACAAAGGGAGAACAAAAGATCCGTTCAGTCCTCGAGCGTTGGGTCTTTGTTGAAAACGGTCCTTCATCGTACGGTTATGTGTTCAGTCAATGGGAGAGTGTTATTACAAGGACAAAGGGAAACACAAAGCATTGTCCTCGAGCGTAAAGAAATTCACGACTGTGGGCGCGCAGTGTGCAAACTGTTCTTAACTGTCATATGAAAATCATACTACCATGAAAATCTGACTCTAGCTTTTCCCTATTAATGGTTAATCCCTCGCACGTGACAGGTCACTCTCCCATATATGATCCTGAACATAGCATAATCTTACTTACGCATTATTAATACTACCAATGAGTCCATGTTTCATGGAGTCGGGTATTCACGGTACACCGGCACGTGGTAATCCGTAGGAAGTGACGTAATTTGAGAAAGACCTATCATGTTACAATTATATTTTGTTTAACTTCGATGATGTTTGCATCACAGCTTTAAGCCATGGCCATTGTAAAATAAATCGTTGCCTCACTTGAATTTGGATTTGATTTTATTAAACTGGGAATAATAAGTCACAGTTTCCTTCGATTTAATTTCAGACATTTAGTGGTTTACTTTAAGTTGTTGTAGAAAGCCAAGTTGTGGATGTTGCGCAGGTCAGTGAGTCGGGAGAAGGTCACTTTACCAGTCTCCAAGGAGATTGACGCAATGACGTCATTTTGGGAGTTAGCAACGTGCAGTACGTAGTACAAGATGCCAGACTCTTGATCAATGCTGATAACATTGCCACCATAGTATTGTCCGAAAACTCCTGCAAAAACAAGTAAAAATATTTATATTGATGTAGCTCTATTTAGTTTTTTCCTGATAAAGTTAACAGGTTTTTTTTTCTCCAAAAGCACTTATAGGCAGTCAACCTCGTTCCCAGGATGTCGATCAGTTATTTCCCACCCTACCTGCGCTCTCTCACCATGTATTGGATCATTTTGCATACGTATACAAATGAGGAAAAGTCTGGTGCATGCCTGTGCTTTACATCAGCGTTTGTTTTTGTAGGTGTCTGGGGTAAAAACCTGGTTTTCAAAAACGTGGCTTCGTGTCAGGTTTGGCTTCAGAAGATTTTCAAGGCATCTTGTTCGCTCAATACAGATTCATAATTTTATTGCAGGGACATCCAATTCTATGATATAGGCCTAAGACCACATTGGAATGGAGTGTTCTTTTTTTGGACACAAGTATTGGCCTAGCCTTCACAACACAGCCCTCCCACGGCAAAAGGGTGTAACTTCAATTTTGGCCTTTTTGAGATAAAGTCATTCTTGGGTTAATAGGGGGCGCTGTTTCCATTTTACGAACCCTCACTAGTCCGGCCACATCCGTTTCAAAGATAGCAGGGCGTATCTCGTGCAAAATTGTGTATGTTTAATTTGGTTTCCTCTGACAAAAGGGCGTATACATGTATTGAGATGCATCATGTCGCTTGGCGATTATGTCAGTCACTGCATCATACCTAGTCTTAATTCAAGAGGCATTTTAGATATTTTCCCCTCATGCACGCCATTTCATAACACAAAACCGCCAGCAGAGGGAGCTATAGCACGAGATCGTCACTATTACACTGCTACCGATGACTTGGCTCAGGGCCGGCGTCAGCTTGGGAAATTATCATCAAACCCCCTCTTGATCTGAGATTACATCACTTACCTGCAGGTGCAACTGGGTATTTCTGCTTGATGGCACCGGTTTTAGGATCAACCGTGACCAGAGTCCAGGCTGGGAAGGGGTTCCCGAACAAACCCGGTGACATAGCAAACAGTTCGTCTTGAAATTCAATCACAGAAACATGAGGTATAAGGTTAACATTAAATAGCATGAAAGATCAAATCTAATCGAAAAATTGAGATGTCTCTATTTTGTATAGAGATATTTCCCCCCCCCCCCCTTTTTTAAGGATTTTGTGAGATGCGGACACATAATTCAATCAAATTTCCACGTTGATTGTTCAAATAAATCGTTTGGACCAGAACATTCTCAAAATAAGACGTTTCTCCGTTGGCGACTATGAACATCTTCATCCCTTAAAATTCATTAAAGGTCCATTTCTCCGTGAAAAGAATCTTTAAGAGATGTTTCACGTACATTTTTATACGGGTTTTATATAGGAATAATCCTGTTAGGGTATTTTCACGGTTTTTAATGACCCTGGCCACTGTGGATTATCATTGGTTATACATAACGGTACACCGGGTCTATCTCCATGGGTAAACAAATGACCTTCTTAAGGGTGTTTTCACGGACTCCTAATCTGGCTTAACATGTTGAAAAATCCGTGAAAATTTAGTTAACTATAATATCAAGGGAAAATGGCTCTTTAACGAATTTTAGGGATGAAGATGTTCATAGTATCATTTTTTTTAAGCATAACTCTCCTTTCCTAAAGGTAAACTCAAAATGCCGACTCAAATCGGAGGGAATACGACAAGTTCTTACCTGTCTTCTCGTAGACTTGTATAGCGGTGATTGTGTATTGACTCACATCCAAGTCCGTAACAGACACTTGTCTATCATATGAAAAAAAGGGAAAAAAACACGTTGAAAACATTGTCACCATCTACTCGTTCCCATAGGAATTTAGTCCTAGACAAACCAATAGGAAAATGAAACCCGACGCCAAAAGGTAATAAGGGGTGGATGCAAGATACCCCCTGTGTTAGATATTGAGATGAGCATGACTAAATCAGGCCAACTTTACTCACTCTTTAGCCATCAAATGACTCCAAAAATTCCATTGGGCAAGGAAAAGGTCCTTAGTATTTCACCAGCCAAGGTTGCAGACTCAATTCAATTTAAAGGAGACATTTCGTCAATATTTTGCACATGAAGGGAAGTAAAGTAGTTTCAAAATAAGGCTAAAGACTAGACTGGCACATGTCAAACCACTGTCCAACTATTTGAAAAGACTGACCCCTTCATTAAGTGTCATTAGTCTGATGCCTGACTATGCAGAAATACATGTACAGTATATAAATATAGAGTAGTTCCCGACTCATGCCACATGTTTCTTTTGGCACATTTGATTGATCATGTTGATGCAGTACCGAAGCAGTGTTGGACTGGTTGTTTCAGGTGCCAGTCTATTTCCTAGTATTGCATGTTCTCAATACCTGAAGTTTTGGGACTTTCATACACAGTATTGAGACACCAACATTTTCGGACTTGGGATCACTTCTATAAGCCACCGTACTCACTTTGTTGTCACCTGCAGTGTGAAGATCTTCGCTGCGAGTTTGTCCGGTGAGTTCTCATTGCCGATCAGCATGTAGTGCGTCTTGGTCTGGTAGTTCAGCGTCGCCCATTGGTAGTTCACGAACACCGTATTTGGGCTACTACTGGTGTTGACGATCTGCTGGAAGTGACCCATGTAATCCAAAGTACCATACACGAAGAAGAAGATCCCTGATAGTGAATAAAACGAAATAAAGTACTAGATACAAAGAATTTCACATCTGAATTTTGAATACAGCGGGATAAAGTACTAGACAACCAATTAGTTTCCGTTCAGTAGCTCAGTAAAATTAAGCCTAGGAGTTTTAGTCCCTAGGCTATACACAGAGTTGCAATCAAAGAATATGGTGACTGACTTGCTACTGCAAAGGGATGACCTATGAAAATGTATATACATGTAGGATATTTTGCATTTATCACAAAATAACCTACTGAATGAATATAAAACGTTTCGAAGCCAACGTGTACTTAGCTTAAAGCAAAGATCTTACGGCGCTATATAGGATATTTGGCTTAAACGATTGTACTGGCACTAAACGCCTCGTGAAATTAAATCCGTCTGGCTTGCTGTCATTTACAAGGAATCATGAGATGCAGGTGATTTGCAAAAATCAGTCAATTGACGGATTTTTGGAAATAAAGAACGCCACTGACAATATTGTGTTTCGTGATCCAAAAGTTGTACATGCTTTTTTGCTGTTTTCTCTAAAAGTGTAAAGTTGAGCTGAAACTTCAAAACGTTAGGTTTTGGCCACTCGTTTGCGACTGGTGTTGTTACTGGAAACGAACAAAATACATGAAAAGCAAATTATTCTAGATGTCTTTAATTGTGATGGACCGTTGATGAATGACCCAATACCAGTTCAGGTTGTAAGTTGCACGCACCTGATTGTGGAGACGTCTCTTCTATCTGAACGGTCAGGTACACCTGCTTGAGATAGGGCACCAGACTGACTATAGGAAGATGCTTCGGGGTGTCCAGCTCGTATTCGCCCGCAATTTCCTTGGTTACCATGTCAATCCACAGTATCTTATTCGAAGCGGCGTCCAGACCCCCATTGCGGTGTTCTAGTAGGTTCAGGTAAGGCATCTCCCGGTCGAAACAGGCTATCTGGTCCATGACGTACTTGTTAGACTGAGCCCTGTACAACGAAGAAAAACTGTTGTTAAACATTGGCGGTGCCAGGAGGAGTTTGAGTGGGTTAAAGTTATCACCACGGGTCGTAACTTGGGGACAATAATTATTTACAGGTAACACAAGGGGGCGGGCATTTTCTATGGTGGCACTCACTGGGTTAACAATTACACAGCTCATTTCTTTCCCATAGGGGAAGGGGGCGTGCCCTAAATGGCTCCCCCACTTTGCAACTGCCCTCCCCTCTTAACCCCAACTACCGACTTTGGATATTGTAGTTTAAGAATGTTTAAACAATGTCTTTACAGATTACCATTATCATGATACCTCATGGATCCGGTGGCGGGAAAAATTGCTCGATGTTACACTTTACCCTATAATTGGTTTAAAGGTAGAGTCCATCATTTGTAATTTGTGCATTTTGTTCGTTTGAAGCAACAAAAGAGTTCAAAATCTAATGAAGGATACTGAGCAACTAACCTGATGAAGTTTCAGCTAAGCTTCAGCTGTACATTCCGAGAAAAACAGCATTCTAAGATCTCAATTTCAAATCAAAAGTTGCTGAATCATGTTTTGAATTGTTTTGAATTGCAACTATACGCGACGTCGCGCACTGATCCGACGAATTATAACAACCGCGCGTGCGTGTGCGTCGTTCCAATACTTGTGCGCGCTGCGCTGAATAACAAAACGAACTACTAATTTAAATTTTCCTACGGTGCTTCTTAAGAATCACCGTTGGAAATGCCTTCTTTCGTTGATTACTTCAAAATGACAGCTTCCCAGAAAGAATAATTTCACAGGGAGTTTAGTCTCCTTACTATCTTTCAACCAAGTTAGTTTTTCAACAATAATTACGCCAGTTACTTTTCGGATGGCTGCAAATGATGGACTCTACCTTTAAGGTTATCCCAATTGTTAGCAAATTTGAGGAATTAATCATGGGAACTTTTTTCCGGAAGCTGATAATTGACGAAAAATGACCAAGACATTGCGCAACGACTGCTTACTTCCCTCCCCGTTTTTAGTGGGGGTGTAGACATGTAGTGCCTTTAATTCAAGTTTGGAATTCCACTGCAAGTATAAGACTTTAATCAACGTTTATGGTTTCTTTTGATCAGCAAAGTAGACCTCGTTGAGCTCCTCCGCTTTTCAATGGAACGTTCTGGATTTGGCCTAAACCACACCCACCTTAGAGACTGTTTCCACCCCCTAAATATATGGGGACCGGCCGCTAGCTCCCATTTAAATCCACTGATTGGATCATCTCTGCGCGCGCGCAACATGGTTATTTTTAAATCGATATTCAGCTTTGAGCATGGACGATACTTGAACACATTGTTATCAAAAAACTTTTGTCTCACCACAGAACGTACGCGAAATCGCCAAACGTGTTTCCATGAAGGCAATGTGAAGCGTTGCCACTGCATAGGTTTTAAATACCGAAGAGTAATATCCCTCTCTTTATTGCTTTTCGCTGCAGAGACACTTTCGAATTCAGCAAAAATCGAAGCTCATCACCTCCGAAACTGCACATTCGTGGCCTATTGCCATTTTGCAATAGGCTGGTTGCGCGCAAACATTACCGCTGCGATTTTATATGCATATTGGCAGGCGAAATTCAGACCTATGCACGTCATCCATATAATTTGCATACATTAGGAGGAAAGCCTCCTAATGTTTCAGGATTCAGTGCTAGCTACCTGTCCCTGTATTTGAAGTCCGAAGGACAATGGGGACAAGGAACCAGACTATACACCGACTTTTGATTGTGTACATTTCTCAGTGTGCTGTAACAGACAGACTTACGTTGGTGACGGAGTTCCGTACTGGATCCCTGAGCCAAGACTGAAGTACATCGGGGATATGCTCTGCTTTGCCCCAGACACGGTGTCCACCATTACAAAGGCGCTGCCCGATTTCGCCTCGTTCCAGGCAAAGCCGTAGAGCATGGCCGCATCACCGTCGGGCTTCACCGGTTGAGCGCCGCTGGGCATCTGCCGAAGAACACCGCGATCCCTCGGCGGTCGAGCGGCCTGCACTCGGTGCCTCTGGTCCCGTTCTTGTTGGATGTCCCCCATAGTACGTGATGACTTGATCATAATGTCCGAGCATTGATAGAATATCTTTTCACCAGGCTTGTGAGCCACGTATCGGACGCGTAACACGCAGTGTGAACAATCAATATCGGGGAGAACCTATATAATGCATGAAAATAATTGCCGTATTTTGTTTTGGCAAACATATTTGTTCAGTTCAGTTCAGTTCAATTATTTATTTCTACTGACTCACTTCATAGAAAATAACAGTACATGTACATGTATGAAACTTTGATTGAGCAATAAGTGGAGGAGGTCCCCCAAAACGGCGGAGCAAATTTGGATAAATATCAAAAGGGTATACATGTTATCGGCAGAGCGCCCTCCAATTGTGTCCATCAAATCTCAAAACGGGTTGACGTTTATTTGAGAATTACACCCCGACTTTAAGCTGCGGTCAGCAGCTCAACAAATCGTCGTGTCAGGAAGCTATGTTTTCATCGGATTTGGTTAGTTTGTTTCTTGGATAGTTGGTTTGTTTGTTAACAACATAACTCAACAAGTTATGGACGGATTTACATGATAATTATTTTGGGGGTTGTCCTTGGTACAAGTACAAATCGAGTTTCTATGGTGTACTGACAATATGGCGGGGAATTATTTACCCTTGGCGCTCTCTGAGCGCTTTCTAGTTGTTGTTTGAATACTTAATATTTTATGATGAATGATTTGCAGGTTCACTCACGACAGGCAAGCTGTAGTTTTGTTGGTTGTCCTGCGCATGCTCATTCACGTCGCCGAAGACCCCCATGATGTCAAAGTGCGCGTAGGGATTACTGTTGTTGGCAAGCGCAACGTCCATGTAACCTGAAAGGCCAATGATCGAGTATTAAAAGGGAGAGGTCCCATGAAATCCCCGAAAAAATTCATATTTTGGATTGTTTACCTAGTTCAAACATCTGGTTGAACGGAAACCAACCTATATGTGTTATCGTCCCCGAGAAAACACATCAGTTTACATCAGACACGACGGAGTACGAATTCGTTTTCAGCAATGTACGATATACATGTACATGTACACATTCGTGTGTGTCTATTATATGAACGTACGTATGCAGTTTGTTACACGTCCGCAAAAGGCGAACACATTTGTGTAAGAAACCACATTTGTGTATTGCGTATTTTATGTGACACACAAAGTGTTTAGTACATTGAAGGAAACGCCAGGAAATAGGTGTGTACGTCGCGTGGATGTAAACAACCGGGCCGTTTTTCGTCTTCTCGAGAAAGGTAAAACATTATAGGTTAGTTTCATTTCAACTGGACCTTAAAATAGTATTAGTAAACAACCCAAAACATGACATTTTCGGAAATTGTATTCACGGTTCTGCGCCCACTAAGAACATGACCACCCCATAGTCTCTTGGCGTTCTTCGTTTCCTGAACAACGATCTTGTGAATGGAATAGCCTGCCTTTATCATGCTGCCACCATTTTAGTCATGTTCCCTCTTTCAAATAACAGTACTGAATGATAATGTGGTTGTTTTTGGTGTGCAATTAAGAGGAACCAGACTATTTTTCCTTCCAGCCTCGCTGTGGTTACGTTGATTTGAATGGGAAAAAAATCATGATGGCCGCAACATGATAATGGTCTACTGCAGTGCCCATTGATATAAAAGCGTTGGGAATAAGTGAAGCCGTTTTTTTTTCCACAACTTATGGGAAAAAGCTTTGAAAGTGTACTGCTCACCAGGATATCCCACTTCATAGTGATTGTAATTTTGCTGGAAAGTTACAAAGATGCTGCTGCCTCCGGCGTACGTGGCCTGCGGTTCTTGCGGAGGTTGTCCCCCACAAGGGGCGCCATGTCGGGTACAGGTGTGACTACCAGACTGTAAATGTAATGCAAGCAAAGTGTTCACCTGCGTGTGCCAACGGAGAGCTTGCACACAGTGCCCTCTAAATAGAAAAGTACTGTTCGTCTGTGATTCACAGAAGCACACATTAGGGTTCATTCGTTTAGATCACCGCGGGTCGACACGGGTCAGCCCGTGCCGGCCGTTCAATTATCTTTGACGGCATTCTCGGGGCTCCTGGGTCAGCTACCACAGACCCTGCTCGTGGGTAGAGTCATTGATGGAAATACGTCACACGCATGCGATGTTCATCCCTAGAAACGGACAAAATGGCGGCCGGACAGCGGAAATGTCAAGTGGACCCAAAAATCAACTTTACTTGAAGTCTAAAGGTATTGATTACTTATGTTCTGTGCGACTTTAGAGGCTATAATTCCAGCCCAACTTTTTGAGTCTGCAATTAACTGATAATCAGTCAATCTCAAACGAAGACCCAGTCCAAAATGGGCGGTTTGAAAGTGGCTACGGCCAAGGTTACGGACATGGATCGTGATGACCCGCGGTTGAGCGTTCGATTAGTCCGGCTGTCGTGGCTAACCCTAGCCTTGGTCAAGGCGCTAGTTGTTATTCATCCCGGCCGTAGTGCGGTAAACGATATCCTCGCTAGCGCTATGCATGCGGTGCATTAAAAATACAGCGCGAATAGCGACCTCACGCGGCCACCATTTCTATGCAAATCAGTTGGACCCAATCTAGCGCCTTGGTTCAATCGTCGGCAAAAGCTTATGTTTTTCTTTATTTTGCGCTGGATTTCTAGCGCACGACCTCGTATGCGAATATAGATAAGTGGAGGCGGGGCTAATATATGTGGAGTGTCCAATCACACCTTGGTAAATCCGGACGTCATCAAATTATTTGCAGCTATTCGCCTTTTGCGGACGTGCCAGGAACCACAGTTTTTGTGCATTGGTGCCGTGTGCAGAGACACACAACGTGTACGTGTATGGATTATGCGGTGCCACGTTTCACTATGCAAGTTTCCACGCAACGATCGACCAATAAGAAAACGACATTTAAGGTCAGCTAAGGATATTAACATAATGAGCACCACCCTCAAAACCTCACATACACGATTGAACCAAGGCGCTAGATTGGGTCCAACTGATTTGCATAAAAATAGTGGCCGCGTGAGGTCGCTGTTCGCGCTGTATTTTTAATGCACTGCATGCATAGACATATGGCTGCATGCATAGCGCTAGCGAAGATATCGTTTACCGCGTTACGGCCGAACAACTAGCGCCTTGACCAAGGCTAGGCTAACCCGTCTGCAATTTACCCGAGTTGATCTGGGTGAGCTACTCGAACGCACCCATTGTCAATTAATTCAATTCGCTCGTACCCCCCGCCTTGCAAACAGGGCGCTGGGAAGGGCTGATGAGCTTCACAGAATCTTGTGAAGAAAGTGGGGATAGCATTCTGGGTAATTTATCATGACCTATGTATAAAGCATCTGGCTGCAGTTTAAGACCGCAGTTAGCCAATGCGCGCAAATGAAATACGAAAACTTTACCATTGAAATGTGCACATTTCATACCGGATGTGATTTTTTTTTTATTTTGATTTTTTTATTGCGGACCATGTGGACAAATTGTAAGCGTCGCATAATGCAATTTGACCCTTCGTTAATTCAAAACGGAGCCTCCATAAGTTTTACAGATTTTCCTGCATAATTACACTTTTCAACGAAAAAAAAGCATTTATGAATTGGAATAAAAGAGTTATAGTGACTCAGTCTTAACGGCCGATGCAAAATCTATCCAATCAGAGCTTAAATTCATCAGCCCTTCCCGGCGTCCTGTTTGCAGGGCGGGGGGTACGAGCGAATGAATTCAATTGAACCTCTCCACGTTGAGGGCGCTGTGTACTAGCATACCATTTACGTTTTGCATCGCACCGAGGTTCCACGAACCTTTCTCAAAAGTCTAATAATTATGGCGGCTTTCCTTCAACAAAGGTATTCGACACGTCCAGAGTCACTAAAATGACGTTTGTTGAAGAAGTGCCGTCACGTGACCGTCAATTGATTTTCCATGATAGGTACACGCGTTGTGCATGCTTATTGCTTATTGGGAACTGGCCTGCTGACGCCATATGCACGCCCTCTAAAGCACTATTTCAGCCAACCCTTTTCTGCAACAACTCCCCCCCCCCCCTGCCAATAAAGGGTGAATACGGGCTGCGATTTTTCCCCTGCAGGATCTAGCTCGGCATCACTTCTTTTGTTTGGTCAGTTAGGCCCTACATGAATTCTTATTCTTATACTGGCGTGACAACATAACCCCACCATGTTGTAAAAAATATAATTCCCTCCTCACTTAGGGCCTACATTATTCATAAGGAAAAAAATGAAGTAGGGCCTATGGATCGAACTCGTACCTACTTGTTTGAAACTGAATGCTAAATTATTAAAACCTATTACTTACGTGCGAGACATCGAGCGGTCCCCGCTGGTGAGGGGATATTATGCATATATGTCCATTGGTGTGATGAGGTGCCAGACCAACGATCATCCCAAAAAGGAGAAGATTTCTCCAAACACTTGGCCATATTTCTTTCGCCATTTCCAAGTCTCTGCTGTGGTCTTCCGTCAAAAGGGGCGGATTAGGGCCCAACTGGTGCTAAACTGGTGGTCCGTGAACCCTGGGACTGATATATAGGGCTTTTTTAATCTACACAATTGTTTACATAAATTTCAACAAGCTCAGGTGACTCGTGTGGATGGACTTTGGCTCTCAAAAGTAAACTTAAGCGCGCAGCAAACAAGCTCGAAATGATCTGGGAAGCTGCGGCCCAACTGTACCCTGTTGTACATGATGTAAAAGTCTGTTCTTATTATGCACATATACTCACGTGGTCGTGACTATCACTTGAAAAGGATTCCCATAATTTTGTTGAACGTCAGTTGGTGCATGGAGCGTTTTATAGCATGTGGAACACCCAATTTGTGTGAAGTACAGTGCTAGCCCCAATGCTAAATGAGTGACCTCGTGACCCAATTTTCCACGATTGGTATAGCTGGTCAGTGGAGACATGAAGCACGTGTTGTTGCGAGGGCCTAAGAGACAAGGTGGTTGATTGCCAAAAAAGGCATTTGCTTAAGTTTGTTACTAACCAACGGAGAGACACGATTATTTCTTGAACTGCTTTCCGCAGCTAAAACTAGTCCTCTATCGATCGCCACCACACTAATGGGGCAGATAGGGAAAATATTTTGGGGAATTGTGCCTTTGAGGATACAAGCAAGGAATTTGGCACACAGGCAGAGTATGTATGAAGACAGATATTTGGCTCTAGGGCCACCGTAGATTTGTCCTTTGAAAAAATATAGGTAGAATTAAGTCAAGCAATTTTCAAAACGGCTGCCATTGCTTGTTATTGTACCTAATGAACAAATCTGCAATGACACCATAGCCAAATATCTTTCTCGTGACATACTTCGACTATGTGCCAAATGCCATGCTATTAAGGGCACAGTCCTATCACCTATCTGCCTACTATTAAGTAGGCATTCATGATATTCCTACAGGCGCGGATCCGGGGAGGGGGGGGGGGTTTGGGAGCCCCAGCTCTGTCAAAGAAAAAATACATAAAATTCATTAAAAATAATCGGTCCCCCACCCCTCTGCTCTGACACCCAAACAAATTATACTGGTAATAATCGCCGCCTGTGCACAAAACACGGACAGAGCCAGCTTGGTTGAGGGGTATTTGTACACTATTCTGTAATAAAGTGTTAATAATCAACAGCGCCCCACGGTACGAGCCCCCCCCCCCCCCCCACCCCATTGATTTTACGGAGGCCAAGTGTCCGGACAAAAAACCTGTCTGCATTTCAGCAATGATTTGCTGATGACTCCCCCCCCCCCCTGCAAAAATTCCTGGATCCGCCCCTGTCCAATCATGTTTTTTTGGCCGGGGTGGGCTGATCTTCTTGTTGGGAGGTGACAATTTATTTCCCAAATTGCGCTATTGGGAAAGGATTGTGTTTCCGCTCCTGAAATGGGCAAACAAACTGGTTGGCTGATTCCACCTCCTATGTGCTACTGCGGCCGTATAAATAGCCAAGTAAATCGGGACGCCGGCTGTCTCATAACCGCATATTGTGACTTTATTCAATTTACGCCGTGAACATTAATATTCCATAAACAATTAAAAAATCGTCAGTTACTAAACTGTCGACATAATCGCTTTTCTGTTATATTAAAAGTTGCCAGTTTAAATTTTTATTTTTTTATTTTTACTTAAACCATTTCTTCTTTGAACAAAGACTTTAGTTTCAAATAATTTGTTCGGTGAGTGGTCCCCGCCGATAAAATGAAACCCGTCCGTAAACACTTTTTCTAGATCTCACTTCTCTATTTCGATGCGGCATTACGGGGAGTATTGCCATCCTTCTTCGATGCTGGAGAAATAGTCTGGTTCCCTTATAACTACAGATTCTATTCTACTGACGAATCTAAGGTTGCAGACCAGTTAACAAACTACCATAGAAACAGTGATAAAATATGTCACTTCCAAAAAACAGGAAAAAGTCACAATTACTCTCCACGGTGTTTGAAAGACACATCAAATGAACGCTCGTTTCACCATCTTTCATTTTCTGTTCACTTTTTGTTGGGGGTACTAAAGTTGACGTTATTTCCATCCAAAGATGATCACCCCTAAAAGAAGTCCTGAAGCCCATCGCCATTTTGAAAAATGATGCCTACACTCATTGCAAAACTAAAGCAATTTTTGATCACCCCTAAAAGTAGTCCTGAAGCCCATCGCCATTTTGAGAAATGATGCCTACACTCCTTTGCAAAACTTGAGTAATTTTAGTGCCAAATTTCATCCAACTTTTTTTAAAACAAACCCCCAGCTACATGGCCCATAAAATGCTCTAATAGCAGATAATTTGAGGGCCAATTGGGTTGTGGCGGGCGTAGGTAATTTCGGGCCTATTTACTGGCCTGCCACCCTAAATATCTCTGAGCAACACGGGCATGATTTCTCTCGTTTCCGAGGGTATCCGAGGCCTTCCAGACACATTTTGCGTGGGAAGTCGGCAAAATTGCAATGGCTCGGGTGATATCGGTTGTAAAATGGTTGTTTTCATAAATACAAGTAATTAAATACCTGCACTGCTTGATATAATCCATGAAATATTTGTTTCCAGGACAAACAAAGGAAAGAGGATTAGGGACAATGGGGCGCCCTCGATTGCCGGTGTTTACACACGTGTGTGTGTGTGTACAAAAGGCACCAGGGATTAGCGTGTTAAGACGTCACCTGCAGGCGAGTCGAGGCACGCTTGAGGTTTTAACCCGTCAGCCGCGCCTCCGACGCGAACTGGTTAAATGTAAATCACGTACAATTAAGTTATGTTGCTGCTATATGCTGCTACTCAAGACGTAAATAAACCATGCAGAGCAGTACTTGCTTATACGTTTTTCATTTAAGGTTGCTTGCCTTTACAAAGAAAGAAACTCGGCGCGTAGCAACCTCTGTCATCCCATAGCCATTGGTAATACTTGGCAAGTACGGCACAATCCACATTGCCACTGCCACCGACGTTATCCGGCTGCTGGCTGCTCCAGTTGGTGTAAGTGCCTGTGGTGCCATCGTTCCATACGAAACTTCCTTCGCTGGCTATGTCATTGAAGCCCAGCCAGTAAGCTGTAGCCGGTTCGATCCGCTCCGAAGCCTGCACCAAACCAACGATGAAGGCCTGCTCTTGCTCGCTGTGGATGGAGGCGAGATGCGACCCTCCGAGCCGCAAGTTGGCTAGGCGTTGGCAGTAGGTCTCGGCCTCAGGCCAGGTCAGTTCAATAGTGACCAGCCGGTAGCAATGCCCGTCAAACGCGAGCCAGTTGAAAGGGCACGGTTTCAAGCAAGCCGAGCCAACAGTGCCAAACAAAATGAAAGTAACTGTTGCCAGGCAAATGGTACACTTGAGGCAAGTGCTCATTTTTGTATGGTTCCAAAACAGATTTTTTTTTTAAATGCCATTCGTTAGTTTTAATCTTCACTTTATACCGTGCAATATACAAAAAAGTCAGTGGACTGACGCGTGACCAATGTTATGGGTATCTCAAAACGCCAACCCAGACTTGCATGTCACTGTAACTTCGTCAAAACTGAAATTTTTTTGGTCAAGAAGATTAGAATGCTCGACTGAAATGTTGTAGTCGTCCGTGTCGTTGCTGCCTATGCGATTCCGTTTGGAGAGGTTCTCTTCAATACCACTTCGATATAGAAAGAAGATTTTGCATCATCCAGCTCAATATTCGTATGCCTCAGGCTGAAGATCATGTTGTGTCAAACACGCAAACATCATGTCCCGGACCTGTGTTCAGCCTCGTCCAAGCAGCACATGCAGGTATTTTTTACACCGATGAAGAACTAGCTGTTATTCGAGCAAAACTGCTTGACAAATCATGCCGATGCTGTTTTGCAATATATCCCGCAACAAGTTGAATGCATGTTAAAAGTATGAATGCTGCAAATTTAATAACCACACGGTGAGGTTATCGCCACACAAAACAATCTTGTGATATTGAAAGTAAATGGAAGTGGGCGCAGTTGCTGTGACGTTGGCAAAATCGTGCGCCTCTCGCAGAAGAAAAAGCCAGTCGTCCGTGATATTTCGTTGCAGTTGGGCTTTTTAATCAATTTAACAGTTGAGAGCCGCGTGCCTTTATTGCAAGCTTCAACAGTTTCTGAAAAGTGAAGCCTATTGATGAAAATCGATACCGACAGGAACAATTATTAACTCGAGAAAATCAAGCGTCAAATAGACGCGAGCACGTTTGAGAAGGCAGACCTGTTTAATTAATGGGCCTCGAAGGTAACAAAATGTTTCTCATTTGCAAAGAGACAAAGCGTGAGCCAGTCGCTAAGGCAACGGACCGGTAAATATTGTATGACGTCACGGCATGAAACGGCACAACGGCAAGGATATTACTATTGGAGGCCCCATACAGTAAGGCTTCTTTTTTATTTCTATGATTCTCATATTATTTTGCCTTTGAAGTAGGGTCGGTCGGTCGAAAAACAAAATCTGTAGGAAAACAAATTGCAGTTGTACCCGTACTACAGGGTGGTTTGAAATAAAATGATATCCACTTTTGACAGCAATTTTCACCTATTTTCAAAAAATATTTTAAACTTTTGATTAGCAGCTATTAAAGTACTGGCCTTTCCCATCATTGATGAAAAAAATCGTTGCAATTGCATAGTTTGTCTGTGAGCTGTGGTGGTTTAAGCTTTTCATGTGCGAAACCTGTTTGTCCACGGAGGTATGTCTCAACACAAAATACACCAATCCATGAACATTACCATTTGAAAAGACCGCGCTAACAATGAAGCCAATATTTGAAAGGGTAACAACCGTGACATTTGATTGTTATGTAATGTTATGCAACAATGAACCTAAGCCCTTTTTTTTTTGGTCAACGGTAGTCGGCAGAATAGTGTCGCGCGACGTTTTTCTCATGGTTTCTGGAGAATCGCCACCATCATCGAAACATTTTATATTTTAGTCTTCGTTGTTCTGTTTGAAGTCGATTATTAGCTTCATGAATTTCTGCTGCATCGTATGAGGTATGAATTAGGCTATGGAATCTGGGTCGGGATAATATATGGAAAATGGACCATTTTTGTAATGCACTAGGAGTATACAGTCCGGAATTTCGGGATTCTTACGACCCGGTACTTATAACCTAGTTGTGACTCCAGCTCTAATGCGATAGGCATTTAGAGCTGGAGTTACTCAAGCTAGAGGTAGTCGAGTAAATAGGCCACTTACATGGGGCTAGAACCGCGCATGTTGTCATCAAGCCACCAAAAACTGAACAGAAAATGAAAGACGACATCTTGATCATCATCATTTTTCTTTAGCCTGAACTCCTGTGAGAGTTTGGAGAATTTTAATAAAGAATTTTGAATAATGGATTTATCACTTGTCGTACCGTATGGGAATTTACTTGCTTGGTTGCACCATTTCTCCATGGTTGCACGCATCAGTGAATGTTGCGCACTGACATGTAGGCCTACTGGTGTTCAAGGATAATTGTATAGTCCACTGTAAACATACGCGATTCCGTATTACGTCTATATCGTACTAGTTGGACGGGCGAGGCATCGACACTTACTAACTTGGGTGCACGCATCAGTCATTCAGTTTGTTGTGCACTGAGTCTGTAATGGTGTTCAAGGATCATTCGTCATATCGTCGACTGTAAACATGGCGATTCCGTATTACGACTTTATCGTAGTTGGATGTGGAGGCATCGGCAGTGGGGCGTTGTATTGGTTGACTAGGCAAGGTGGAAACCGTGAGTACATGTTTTATAGCTCCATGATACATGTAATAACCCTGCGTTCTTGCAGCTAGTAGTGTAGACCGTTAACCGACACATAAGTAGGCCAAATTCTCATCGGATCAGGCCGCTAATTTATATGCATATCATGTATCTGTGGTAGTACTGAAAACTATAGGCTTAGCTCTACTCGTTACTAAACATATGTACACTATTTCTCCTCAGTGGATTGCTCAATTTATTTTAATTCTCAAAACGTTTACGAAACGTATTCAAGCACCAACCTTTTCACAGGTTTACATTTTAGTTGGGCCCGATTTGAACGTCATGTTGGTCAAATGAATTATGGCCATTTGTTTTTCTGCAACCGTAGTGCAAAAACCACAAAAAAAACAAAACGACAAGCATAATGGTTCTAGTGTGTTTTATTCATCTATGCAGTGTACGCGAATATCACCACAGTGAACATGATCTAATTCAGGATAATAGCCGTGTTTTTTTCCTGCCCCTGCTCCATTATCATGGCATAAAGGTCAAACGTCGCGTACTATGCACTTTGGTGTCCTTGCGGTAAGCGTAATTTTTTTTCCTAGAAGGGTTAGGGGCAATGTCATGAATAATTCAGTTTTTCCTTTGAATCATTGCAAGACTTAGGTTCTCGTTCTATTTTCCCCTTAATTTAAAATTATCTCAGTGATAAATTTGGAGAAGAAAAATAGCTGATGAAAATGAGCAGCGACGACGTGGATTCGAACCAGGGATCTTTGTATCCATAGCTCATCTCGCTATCCACTAGGCTACTGTGTGGTAGCTCGACGACAACCGTTCTTTAAAATGCTTTAATGTATTGTAACTAGTTGAGTAACTAACAACAATGCTGTTGATGTCATTGTCCGTTCTCATGGATAAACATGAATTATTCATGACATTGCCCCTAACCCTCCTAGGAATAAAAATTACGCTTGCGGTAAAGTCGGCCAACCATCGAACTGTACCTGGGTATTGTTGCTCTAGCTACAATGTAGTTACCCAGAAAAGTATATGGAGGACGAAAAGTGGAAATCAGCTTTTTTTCTATCAGAATATTGCACAAATTCAGATTAAAAGTCTTCGACTGATGAAGTTTTCTACCTATCTGTCTTTCTGCTACCAGAAAAGCCGAGTGTACGTTTTAATTAACACTACGCAACACAGTGCATCAGGTGGAAAAGTCTGGTGCACTTTGATACATTCAGCTATCAACACCACTGCATAAACGGCCGCTTCCGAGCCTATAATATTGAACAATGCCCTTGCTGTTGCAAGTTCGGTGACCTCGATCTGACTCTGAGGCAGTTTGGCCGATAATTACGTTGAGACTTTTGACCCGATGGATCTTTCTGCACAGGGCAGCTACACTTAGACAAGTGTTGCATGTCGCTGCGTTTGGCAGGGTTTCTAGCCAAAATACCCTGGACTGACGGAGGGTTACGGGTTCAGAAAGTTGTCTACTTTCAGCTTTTCTGAAACCTGAAAAGCAGCCTCTTGCTAAAGTAGCAGAAAATAAGTTTGAAGTTTTTCGGCTTTTTCCATTTTCTGTTTTCCTTCCACTCAGGCGGCCGAAAAGTGGCCATGCATCTGCTTTTCTCATTTCAGAAATGCAGAAAAGCCGATCGAACATTTTGACAGCAACTTAATATTTGACCCCATGCCAGATACCATCACGAGGTTGAAAATAAAGCAACCCCTGGGGACGAGGTTAAGATGTATAGCAGTATTAGATTGCTTCGGTGACGGCGATAATGGTGCATGGTGACAATAGTGGGTGATAATATTGTTGTGATATACACTCAAAACAACAAGTCAGATTTGACTAAAAACTGCATGCAGTAAAATTTGACTAGCCTTTCAGGGTCAACTGGGTGCAACTCAAATCAGCCAATCTGACTAGAGTGTCCCCAATAGTATTATTGGCTATAGGAAAAATGCAAATAACTAAAATTGGAGTAAAATCCATCTACTTTTCTAGTCATGGTAGGCCGATGAAACTTGCATGTTTATAACTAAATGCCTAGTAAATTTTCAACAACTATAGGAAAACAGTCAATATTTTTGACTAATTTTAGAGTGTCAGCCTATGCATGACAGCAATTACAATGGTGACTTTAAGATAATGCTGATGACATAATATGTATGAAAGGTGTTGACGGAATGCCGTAAGACAGTATGATGACGATGCCCGGAACCTACGAAGTTTCAAACGTTTTAAAACTGTTCTTTTAACAATCACAGGTGTCCTTGGGTTGGAGCAGTTTAAACTTGGACACGAAAATGGGGGATCGCACGACTACTCAAGAAATATGTAAGACAAGTATATCAAAGATGCATTGTGCATGTACTGTCTGTTCTATTTTTGACTTGACTGCTCAAAAATCATCGCGTCTCCTTGTTAGTTAGTTAGTAAGTAACAAACGTTGACTTGTCTATTGCTCCTACATTTTTAAAAAATACATTACGAACAAGCTAGACTGCAGGTTTCCTTTAACCAAACGTTGTCAAAAGTATCAGTAGCCAAGCTCCAAGATGTCACCTGATCAAACTGGGGTCAAAGGTCATCATGAGGTCACTGGGGTCAGAAACGTACTCAAAGCACGAGGAATTACAATGACGTGACTCGTGCATGAACACGAAGATCTTTTCCGATCGAGCCTGTTTGTTTTTATGTTGCTATTTTGTAATACAAAAGTTATTTACTTTTGAATGTGGTACCGAACGAAAACAATCGGACCAAATTTAAAGTTAGCTGTACATGTAGAACAGTTTCGGTGAAAATTTAAATTTGCTGCCAGACACTTATAATCCTCACCCTATCGGGATCGATAGGGCGTGGAAATCAGACTCAGAGGGTGGATCTCCTTTGGTGCAAAATAAAGGGCCCTTATAGTAACTGTTGGGGAGTAGTTCATACGTGTAAGTACATATTTAGGGGTCCATTTCACCAAACTCATTGCAACTTATGCGTTGTCGTGGAACTTAAACGATGCGAACTTAAAGATAAAATCGATCGAATTGCTTCGTGAAATCGACGCCAGATTACATGGTAAGATAAGTCATGCGCGCGCGAAACACTGTGTGCAAATGCAGTGCGTCACTCCCATTGACAAAGCGCCCCGTATATAACGTCCACGCACGGATTTAATACAGGAAAAGGCTTGGGTAAGACTGTTCCCCCTCTAAAAATATGGGGACCGGTACTAGCCCCCGGTAGCTAGCCATTAATTGGGTCACCTCTGCGCACGCATCATGGTTGTTTGTTTTTGAAACGCTGCTTAGCTTTGTGTATTATACGGACGGTGATTGAACACACGATTATCAAAAAAAAAATTCACTCTTGTCTTACCACAAACGTAAAATCGTCTGTGTCTTTCAGGCAACTTCCAAGCATTTCAACTGCATAGGTTTTAAATACCGAACAGAAATTTCCCTCTCTTTATTGATATTTTTAAGAAACACTTTCGAATTCAGCAAAAATCGACTCGGAAGCTTATGACCTCTGAATTGCACATTTGTGGCGCGGCCTACTGCCATTTTGCAATAGACTGGATGCGCGCAACCATTACCGTTGTGTTTTTTAATTCACGAGGCGGGATTTAGACTTATAAACGTCATGCATAAAATTTTCATAAATCAGGAGGAATGCCTCCTGATGTAGTCAGGTTCACTGCTAGCTACCTGTCCCCATGATTGAAGTCCGAAGGACAATTTGGGGACAGGGAACCAGACTAAGGCTTTGGTAATACAAATCGGTTTGGCTTTCATTGACGGCAGTCTTAATTAGTTTGTAATAATTTTATGGAGTAATTTCTATAACGTATGATTTTGTCGGATAAATTATTGATCTTTATGACAGTCGTATGGATTACACAGACGACGCATACATCGATCTATGCCGTGGGGCGTACTCGTCGTGGAACGAGGTTGAAAGGGAATCGGGTGTACGGTTGGTCTACAAAACAGGCGGTGTCGACTTTACTGACGGGAGTCCTTCAGCAGATCGGTATCTCTGCGACATTGAAGAGGCAATGAATAGACATGGTGTAAGGTGAGCGTGGCAAGGGATTCAGTATTTGTTTCTTTTATTATTTTTTCCATATTACAGTTTGAATTGCGACTAAAGTTTTGTAATAATACTATTTAGCTTAAACAGTTACCTGTACTCGTGACTGACTGACACTTGTGACTGACACAGTCCTCAGACAAACCTTTACGAGGTTTGCATATTCATGTACATGTATATCACGACATCACTGTCAGGTGCGATGTGGGAATCTGGGTAAATTCGGAATAAGGGCTGTTCAAAGTGCCCATTGGTAATGTTCCCATTTTGCCCGGGTTCGGTAGTAGCGCAATGTGGGAATATTACCCATGGGTACATTCCACACCCCTTACCTATGGAAAAGTACATCAAACTAACACAACTCCCACTTTGCCCAAGTTAAGTAGTAGCGCAATGTAGGAATAGTTATTTCAACACCCCTTGACTATAGCAGGTGCATGACATTAACGGAAATTCGCACTTTGCTCAGGTTCAGTGGCAGCGCAGTGTAGGAATATTAACTATGGGTAGTTTAACACCCCTTATCTGTAGCCAGTAAAATAAAAAATAACGGGCATGCTTCTGTGTAAATGTTCGAATGACAATCACTTCGTACAAATTATTGTCAATATGAAAGTTTTGATGCATTCCTACTTTGCCGGGCAATATTGGAATTCCCACTTTGCCCAGCCGGACTAAGTGGGAATTCCAAGTTTGCGCGGATTCCCACTTTGCACGAGACATAATAGGCAAATCAAGACTTTCTGCGTGCGGTTAAAGTTGACTGTTCGTTTCCATCACATTACCACTACACCTTATTCTACGAACTTGGTAGCCGTCTCTGAATGATTGAATACAATGTTTCACTCTGGCACCAGCTGTACTCTGCTTGTCTTGTTTTGTTTAGATGTGAACGAATGGACGGCGATTTGCTTAGTAAACGATTTCCTCAGTTTGTGACGAAGTCTAACTGCAGGGCCATATATCTGCCGGATAACGGTGTGATCAATTCGGCGCATGCGAATGCGGTTCACATACAACTGGCAAGAAAACATGGTGCTCACATTCTGGAGGAAGTAAAAGTGACTGGCATCAACAGGGAAGAAGGAGTTCCATTGGTGAGATGTCGTTGTTGAATGTGGGTGGGTTGCTTTTGGTTTGGTTTGATTGGATTGGGCTGGGACGGGTGGGTTGGGGTTGGGTTGAGCTGAGTTGTGTTGTGTTGTGGGGGTTGGGTTGGGTTGGGTTGAGCTGAGTTGTGTTGGGTTAGGTTGTGTGGGTTAGAGTTGGGTTGGGTTAATGGGTTCGGTTGGGTAGAGTATATAGGTATGGGGTGGGTAGGTTCGTTGGGTTGGGTTGGGCTGAGATGGTATGGTTGGGTTGGGCTGGGATGGGTGGGTTGTGATTGGATTGGGTTGGGTTGGTTTTGGTTCAGCTGAGTTGTGGCGTACGTTGGGTAGGCTTGGGTTGAGTTGGGTTGGGTGCATGGTTGGGTAAGATTGTTGTTGTGTGAGTTGGATTGGGTTGGGTTGGGTTGGGTGAGTTGGTTAGGTTAGGTAGGATTGAGGTGGGTTAAGTTGGGTTGGGTTGTGTGGGTTATGCGGGGTTGGTTAGGTTAGGTTAGGTAGGATTGGGTTGGGTTGGGTTGGGATGTGTGGTTATTTGGGGTTGGGTTGGGTTGGGTGCATGGTGGGGTAAGGGTTAGTTGGGTTTGGTTGGGTTAGGCTGGTTAGGTTGAGAAGGTAGGTATAGGGTAGTAGGGTTGGGTTGGGCTGGGACGTACGGGTGGAGTGGGGGATTGGGTTGGGTTAGGTTGGGTTCATGGGTTGGGTTGAGGTGAGTGGTGTTGCGTTGGTATATATTGGTTGAGTTGGGTTGGGTTGGGTTGGGTTGGGTTGGGTTGGGTTGGACGTATGGTTGGGTAAGGTTTAGTTTGTTTCTGCATTCAATGGGGGGGGGGGGGGGCTGAACAGTAGAGGAACAATAGGGTCCTCAATTCCCTAGAGGTCCCCAGTTTGGCTTCGTGTACAAAACATAATGGAGGTCTTCCTAAAGTTCATACAAACAAAATAAGGACAATAAGGGGTCCCCGCTGCAGGCAAATACACACTTGCATGAGTTGAGTTGGGTTGGTTTGGTTGGTTAGGTGGAATAGGATTGGGTTGTGTTGTGTGGGTTGGGTTGGGTTGGTTTGGGTGATGTGTGTTATGTGGGGTTGGGTTGGGTTGGGTGCATGGTTGGCTCGATCAGCTGTCAGGTCGCGTAAACGTCACCCGCTGGCTGAAATGTTTGTAAACCTAGGTACATGCATGTAAGATAATATAACGAGGGAGCGTAATTAGGTCCATAAAAGATGTAGATCGATTTATCGATCTGTATTCTCAGGTGCAAACTACCCATGGAAACTTCCGATGTCGTCGGGTAATAGTGACGGCTGGGGCTTGGGCAAACGACGTGCTTGAATCTGTAGGCGTGAAGGTCCCCCTACGCGTGACCCAAGAACAAGTTACGTATTTCGACACACCGCATAGGAAGGACTTCACAAAAGACAGGTAAAAAAATAAAAGTAAAAATCGGACGTAACATAAACAAATTTATTATTATTCTATCTTAAGACTAGTGTATTTGTCTACTCAGGGATACATGGGAGTAGATTGTCTTCCAAAAAAATGGCGACATAGGAAGATATATCGAAGGGTTTGGCCAAACTGCACTTTTTCAGAGTAGAGAAAAGTAATATATTTTGTCTTTAAAAACATACCGCATTTACCAAGATTTTATAAAATAGTCATCTCTCGGAGTATAACAGGAATTTTTGCAACCATTCCATGAACAAAAGCTAACGTAATGTTTACACTTTGCCTCTTTGCTCGCTTCGAGGAGGAATATCTGCACTGATCAACTCGTCAAGGAATGAACGCGCAGACCGATAAATACATACAGCCTAAAGCATGAACAACTGGAGAACACACACACATAGACACCCAGACTTACCTTCCATATCTACTGTGGACATTCCTTATAGTATTCGTGTAGTTAAGGAAACACGAGGAAGCAATATTTTACTTGCACTGTGAACACCCTTTCAACCCGAAATTTTGATCATGATTCCCTTCACTGTGCCCCGTCATATTGCGACTAATAAGCATATCCCTAAAATGCCTCTACACCTGTTTTGCAGAGAGGCAGAACCCTGTGTGGACCTGGCTTAGTCCACAGAAGGTACACAACCTGCACCCTGTGGATCTCTGTGGTTCGCATGCTCACAAAAAGTATGCAATGTTAGAGTACATATAGTCTGTTTTTTATTATATACTCCCGAGGAGGACTAGTGCTGTTACCCTCTTTTGTTTGTAGTGTTTGGACCTTTTTTTGACATGTCCCAAAATGTTTGTACACGAAAACTACCGAGGACTTGGCTCGGGTCCTCTTTTGTTTTTGTGTGTGTTATCTCAGGTAACCAATCGAAAGTCCTGTATTACGATGTTTGCTCCGGTTAACTGTTAATTAGCGTGTCAAATTAATTGGTTTAATTTCTGGACAGATTTCCTTGTTGGACCTACATGTCGTCGGATGGAGACGTATTTTACGGCCTACCGGTTCATGCTGTGAAGGGCCCCAAGGTTGCCATGGACGCAGCAGGGGCTGAGGTCACGCCACAGACCCGCTCATTCACTCCAAACCAGGAGAATATTGACAAATGTATCCGCATGTGCCGGGAATACATACCCCGGGTAAGTATTGTAATGCGTATACGTACGTCAAATCATTAAACAATGGCACGATGTCTGTTATAAATTATAGGCCTACGTAGCCATTAAACTGGTCCCTTTCATAAAACTGCGACAAAGCATTTGGTATGTATTCCTCTTAACCTGAAGTGGCAATTAGTCGCTATTAGTCGAGGAGATGCGAATTAATCACACGACTGCTCGACTTTAGTCGCACGGCCCCACGGAACAGAATGCCAGATACCATTAGAGATATGGCAACAAATTTTTTTTTTGTCTTTTAGTCACACGTTAGATCATGTTAACATCTAAAGTAGCATTTTACCCAGAACAGTTGAAAATTTTGTAAGGAAGATACACTACGGCATATCTCTTAATTTTGTTCCTCAATGTCCAAAAAACTGCTTCGCTGTCACATGATGGCTGTGGTTGAAAATATTGTGCGAAATTCAGGCAGTTGCGGATTTTGATACACTGTAAATACGTTGGGCAAAATAGGTTGATACTGGTATGTAGACCAGTGTTGGTCAACATATCAACAGGTTAAACTCTTGGGCAAATTCTTCCCAGATTTTGGCTGACCCAAATCAACCCACAATGAAGTAATTTTAAACCAATGTTGGGTAAAATTACATTGCCCAACAGTGTTTTACCCAACATTTTGTTTACAGTTAAGGTTTCCTTTACTTTGATGGAACAAAGTAACTTTTGAAAGATACTTAAAGCAGTTGACGTGGGGTCAAATAAATAATGTTTACACGTTATTTACCACTGTAAATTCAAGCTCATGCAATGGCCCTTCCTTTTAAGAGCTAAAATTTATTATTATCAAATAATAATCTTTTTTTATAATACCCGTTGCTATAACTGCTCCTGTTAACTTTTCTTGGTTTATCCTGCCTTGATTTTTGCTTCAGTGTCTTGGCCCAATTTTGATGACGAAGACCTGCCTCTACGCTATGACTCGTGACCGCCATTTTGTTATTGATACCTGCCATCGCTCTGGTTTCCCGGATGTTATTGTGTGCTATGGTGCTGGCCATGCATTCAAGTAAGTTAATAACATGTTGCAGAAGCAGAATTGGGATTGTAACCAAGTGGTTTGGGTTCGTGACTCATGATCAGACACTCTCAACACATTAGTTAAAATTCGGTTGGTTAAAACTTTAAACAACAGTGTGTCCATATTTCCAATTTTGACCAACGTTGGGTAAAAATGGTTAATTGTTTAACCAACTTTGTAACAAACTGTTAGGCTGTTCACCTGGTTACCAATTAACGGTTGGTTAAAATAGTTAAACTGACCAAACGTTGGTAAAATAACTAATTTACACAATGTTGGTTAACATTTAACCAACTTTTTGAACTAACCAAATTTTAACCAATGTTTTGAGAGTGTATGCTGGCCAAATGTTGTGTCCATGGGCAATCCACTTCATCCCACATGCCCCCTCCATCCAGGAGTAGAAATGGGTACTCAGTGGCAGTAGCTGGGGAGTAACCTACGATGGACTGGCATCCCATCCAGGGGGAACTTTCTCAGTCATATCATGCAACTGAAACCGGAGATAAACGCCGGCCTGCACACAATGGGCCATGTTGTGGCAGACTTATTTTTCACTTAACTATGAGCAGATTACTACTCTCTGAGTAAATTGGAGGATGGATTTTGGCAATCTGCCAAAAAGACTGAGGAGTAAGAATTGAAAATTAAGAAGACGAGAGATATGTATTCGAAATACGATATTTTAGTACCCAGTTACAAAGGAATTAATATTGTAGTAGAATATGTTAATTTCCATTTTCCTTCAGTTAAAAAACTACAATCAATCTAGAACAACTTCATATTGTATACAATTTAAATTGAACAAAACATGGATTTCAAAATGGAAATGGAAGCTTTTAATTATGTAACTTAAAAGGGCTTTAAAAAGATATATAACGAAAACGGTTTCAAGATGACGTCATCGACCTTTATCGTGGCTTTTATGTTGTAGCGGCGAGTTGTGAAATTTAATTTGGGTTTAAATCATAGTTGTTATTTCAAAGTGTTTTCTAAACTTTAATTTATGATCACGCATACCTTTGATTGGAAATAAGTTTGTTGCGGTAAAACTGTGCGTACGTTAATCGTTCCTGTACTTTCGTAATAGCGCCCTCTTGTGATATGGTGCATTTTGTAAGGTCAAAGTGTAAATTCTTCATGATTCCGATGATTCGTAAACAATGAACGTGTACCAAATTTATCTCCCCAAATAAATGTAAAATTATCAGGTTTTCTAAGTCCCAAATGTTGTAGTTTCGGATCCAACACAATCGGTAAGCCTTGTTGATTTATTCATGGTTATAATTTATCGTATTCTGAGTGATTTAGTAAGATTATTTGTAGCTTTTCAAAGTGAAGATTTATATGTTTTGGGGGTGTTTACTTACACGTACAGGGATAATGTACGCACTATGTCAAGTGAAGGCTCAAGCTCAATCGCATATATATTTGACTAATTAATCTAATGGTTTATTATGTTTTTCTGTAATTGTTAATACTAAAGTTAAGTATTGTAATTTGTGTAATTACAGTGAACCACCACCACCACCACCTCCATAAGAACCAAATACAGCAGCAATAAAGTACATGCCTCAGGGTGCGTTCAGAAAGGGACCGAATAAAAACACTTGTGTAGCAAATGACGTTTGCAAGGCTACATAAAAGTTCACGATTTGGGACATAGTTCTACAACTCAATCATGGCTGAGGCAGATTCTGCAAATAATTTACCTGACAACGCTGATGCGGTTAGTGAAGCCGGGTCATCCATTTCAAGAGCTAGCTCGAGGGTTAGCACAAGTTCAGTTTCCAGACGGAAAGAAGCCAAGGCGAATCAGTTACTGGCACGCCTCAAAGCAGAGCAGTTGAAGAAGAAACAGGCATTGGCGCATGAGAAGCTCAAGATTGAACAAAGGATGGAGCAGATGGAGGCGGATGATGAATTGGAGCAAGCTGAGCAACAAGTACAGTTCTGGGAAAATGAAGTTAGGACTGAGGATGGTGTGACAGACGGTCCATCCGTGAGAAACACGGAATGGAATTTAACCACCGCTTCAGAGTCCGCCGGGGTGACATTACCTCAACAAGATGTGTCTCCATCCAGTGGTGACGATGTCCCAGACAAAGTTGATGGCAAAGCAGACCTCACAAATCTTGCTCAGTTGGTTCAGGCCATGACGTTGGCCATCAATACACCAAAACCAGAGCTGCTCTCCTTCAGTGGTGATCCTGCAGACTACTCGGGGTTCATCCACAATTTTGATGTGAATATTGCCAGCAAGGTTTCCGAAGACAGGGTAAAGTTAACTTACCTTATTCAGTTCTGTAGAGGAAAGGCTCGAGAGAGTATAGAGAATTGTGTGCTGATGGAGGAGAAAGCCGGGTATAAGTTGGCGAAGGAAATTCTTCGTGATCAATTTGGACAGCCACACGTCATCACCCAATCTCTCATCAATAAAGTCACCGATAGACAACCGATCAGGCCAAATGATGGTGCTGGACTGTGGGAGCTTGCTCGTCAGATGAGGAAATGCCAGGTGACTCTGTCGCAGATTGGGTACTCAGCAGACATGAACAGCTCCGACCGTCTCCTCAAGGTACAACGATTGTTGCCGATACATCTTCAATCCGAGTGGGCTAAACGAGCTCAGATCATGATCCAGGGTAACATGGAGCCTAACTTCTCACACTTGACTGACTTCATCGAGCAAAAGGCGAAGATAGCAAGTAACATGTTTGGCCAGAATATTGGGACAAATATTCGAGCAGACAAGACATCACATCCCAGCTTCAAGAGTAAACCAGCTAAGGTTACCACGCTTGCTACTCAAGGCTCTAATGCGGTAGGAGAGACAACAAATGGACGAAGTCGTCCACAGAGAGGAAACTATGTGCCGAAATGTCGCTGCTGTTCCCAATCACATACGTTGAAGGAATGCAGAGAATTCCAGCAAAGGTCTTATGACGATAGGCTGAAGTTCGTCCGAAGCAACAAGTTATGCGACAACTGTTTCCGACCTGGGCACATGGCTAAAGGTTGTATGCTGAAATCAACATGTGAAGTCAGTAGCTGTACATGGAGGCATCATACGCTGTTACATCCTCCGCACAGAGATGATAGAGGTTCAAAAGGTGAAGGTGCCAATTATCCAAGTTCCAGTTCTGCATCTGGGGCTGGGGACAAGAACCAGAGTCACACTACAAGCAAGCCAGAGAGCAGACAGCATGGAAGTGTAAACGCAACTGCAGCTTCCATGAACAGAGTGTGCCTAAGAGTTGTCCCAGTCAGAGTGCAGGGAAAGGACAAAGAATTTCAGACGTGGGCACTGCTTGATGGAGGGAGTGATACATCACTGTGCGATAGAAGGTTGCTAGATCAACTAGGCCTTCAAGGCATAGAAAGGAACATCACCCTCGCTACCGTCAATGACGAGCACAGTGAGAAAACTGGAGTTGAAGTTAGCCTCACAGTAAAGGACTTGGAGGGACGTCAGAGTGTTGACCTTCCCAAGGTGTGGACTGTTGACAAGTTACCGATCACAGACAGAAGTTTCCCAAGAGAAGAAGACGTAAGCAAGTGGCCACACTTACAGGGAATAAGCTTTCCTATGATCAGTGAGCGTCGGGTGATGTTACTGATCGGGGGAGACACTCCAGAAGTCTTCTGGGTCCTGGAAGAGCGACGTGGCAAGAGAAAGGAGCCATATGCTGTACGATCTCTTTTGGGATGGACTTTGCTGGGACCTACAGCCACTAACGAGAAGCAGTTCAGTTTCAACGTAAATCACGTTTTGCTTGAGGATGACTTGCTGCTACGAACAGTTGAGAAATTCTGGGAAACGGACTTCGGCGGCAAGATGGCTGATGGTGAAGTTGCTGACTCGGTGGAAGACAAACGAGCTAGGACCATCATGACAGAAACTGTAACAAAGGTTGACGGTCACTACCAGGTTGGTTTGCCATGGCGTTACCAGAGTCGATGTTTGCCTGACAATCGCCCTCTTGCAGAGTCAAGATTACAATCATTGAAGAGGCGATTTCAAAGAGACCCCAGCTTGTATGAGAAATATAAGAAGACTCTTGATGTCTACTTCATGAAAGGTTATGCCAGAGAGATATCTTCATCAAGCCCCCAGGGTGTCAGGCCTGAGACTACCACTGATGAGCAGCTTGCCAAAGGTGTAGAAACCGCAATAACAGGACAGACAGTGTGGTACTTACCTCACCACCCAGTGCTGCATCCACAAAAGCCAGGCAAACTTAGAGTAGTATATGACTGTGCTGCCAAGTACAAGGGTGTATCGTTGAACGACCAGCTGCTTCAGGGACCTGATTTTGCAAATAATCTAGTCGGAGTACTGACGAGATTTAGAGAAGAGCCTGTTGCACTGGTAGCTGACGTTGAAGCAATGTTTCACCAGGTTAAGGTGCCTGATAATGACAGCGATGCCCTGAGATTTCTCTGGTGGCCCAATGGAGATTATTCCAAGGAGCCGACGGATCATAAGATGCTGGTGCACCTGTTCGGTGCGACATCATCACCCAGCTGTGCCGGATTTTGTCTCAGAAAGACAGCTGAAGACAACCGAGAGAACTTCGACAAGGAAACCGTCACCACAGTTCTCGAAAATTTCTATGTGGATGATTGTCTTGTGTCAACGAAGACAGAAAGTGAAGCCATCAGGTTAGCCAGTCAGCTTATCCAGTTATTAGCCAAAGGAGGATTCAGGTTGACTAAGTGGGTATGTAACAGTCGTGATGTATTGGTGACCATTCCTGCTGAAGAGAGAGCTCCATCGGTTGTTAAGTTGGATTTTGATCATCTGCCAGTGGAGCGTACCTTAGGCGTGAGATGGGATGTTGAGGCTGACAAGTTTGGGTTCGAAGCAGCTGTGAAATGCAAGCCCGCAACAAGGAGGGGTATCTTGTCAACTGTAAGTTCATTGTATGACCCCTTGGGTTTCCTCGCACCATTTATCCTGCCAGTTAAAATTCTTCTTCAGGATCTCTG